AAAAACTCACATGATATTGATATAATCTGCCTTGTTTTTCATTATTATTTAAACTTGTGTTAATTTAAATGGTTATTTTATCGATTTGCTTTCTGAAAAAGCAACTTAAGTTTGATAGCGAAACGCCGGAAATTCTAATGTCTATTCATTGTGATATCATAAATATAGAATTATTTCCTTAAGTCACAAGCTTTATTAGCAAAGATGAATAGTGGCTAGCGGTGGAATTCAGGACGTGCGTTTCGTCCTATTTCGGACTCGTCAACTGGATGTATCTGCATCCCACATGTGCTAACAAGAGACTGATCAATTGCAGTTTTAAACAAAAATTGGAAAATACAACCAAACAACATCAAGTGAAATAATCATATTTTATTATTTACAATGTTCCCGATGCCCAATCTATTTAAAATTATCATGTCTAACTTTGTTATTAATACTCAGAATATGTCTTCATATTTATAAACTCTCATGACGGTTCAAATTATTATTGAAGTGATCAAAGTAACTTGTATCCTGATGAGAAAAATGCTTAAATCAATAAGAGAATATATTTCAATAAATAAAATTACTTATCAATTAACAGATTAAGAAATCGAAGTTATTTTGTTTAGATACAAACTAATAAACTAAAATAGTATATTTATTAGTAAGTATTTAGTTAACATTAATTCCGTACATCCTGATCCCTTGACTAATTAGGAGTCGTGAAGTTGTTAGAAAGAAATAAGTCAATGATTGTTCACCTGAATTTATCATAAAAAAACATTGGAAGGCTAATAAAACAGTTCTTAAGAAATTCTATTTTAAGTAATCGACATAAAAGTTTTCTAATGAATGGTTTGGTTAGTGTATTGAAGCATTTATTGATAATAGTTCAGTGATTAATGATTACGTGACTAGTTAACTACATTTGCTAGATCTATAAGAAGTGATTACTTTGTTTTGTGTCGCATAATGAAGGCTACTATAAGGGATAAATTGTGATTTTCTAGATATTATCATGAATATGGTTGTTGATAGATATTTTAAATGTTTGGACACATGTTAAACGTGTTATCCTATCAAATACGAAACAAACGACATAATTCATAACTCCTGCCTTGTATATCACTTGACAGAGTGAGACGCTAGTTTATAAAAAGAACATACACAAATGTTAATCGCTGATATAAAGATTTCCTAGTTTACTTATTTGTACATAAATAATATTTAGTAAAGTGATTATTATTATTATTATCGTCAAATGCAACACTATTGGAATAGTTTTGATGACATTCAGGAATCATCTCATAATCTATAATTAATTGTTTATTAGTATCTAAATCATCCTATAGAATCCGACAAACTAGTTAGAACTTGGATAGTATTTCTTACAAAGTGTAAACCTGTAAATTGGATCCAAATAAGTTCCTAAATACACTACTAATATATACGTTTTCATGAAGGTTTTTAAGTAGTATCGTAATTTTTATTTTTACACACAGTGTTTTATTAACAAGTTTTCTATTTATAAATAAGAACTTTCGTCTAAATTTGAACGAATAGTTTTGCAATATTTGGGCGCTGAGTTAATGTGAGTCATTAAAGAGGAAGAATGTATTTGTAAAATCTCAACGAATGAATTTGAAGTTAATTCAACATTTCGTCTGGCAATCTGGTCCAAGCTTTTTCAAGGAAAATATGATCAAACAACAAAATTATCGAATATTTTACAAAATGCTTCACAACTGTTTATTTCCACTAAGTTAATACTGTTTTTATTAAGGCTTGCCATAGTTACAAGGGAAAAAACTTATCAGAACAGGTTGTATTAAAAATCTTCATTAAACTTGTTGAACTATACAATTCTGATTAGTCATTCATCGTTCATTTTTTCTTCTATATGAAAGTATATTGTGAAACACTGAATTGTTCACCTCTTTCTCCCTCTCTCTGTCTCTCTCCCTCCAATACATACATCATTATTTGTGTGTTACTATTAAACTACAATACTGGTTTTCCTTATGATTATCCATAGATTAGTATTATTCTGTTCTATTTTTTCAATAGATAGCATAGGGTTTTATTACAGACGTGAACTTTTTTATTAATACCATTTATTAATAATTGTATTATAGTATTTTCATTGAATAAATCATTGATTCATATTTCTAACCAAAAAGAAAAAAAATATATATTCTTGTATCAACTTTTAACTATAACTTTGTTTAGTATCAGAAGAGGTTTTGTGAAGATTGTAGTAATTTCAATAGTTGAGATCATAAGTCAATTGAAGCTAGATCACTATGGAAAACCTGGAAGCACTGGATGGCTATTTCGTTCTATTATGGGACTCCTCAGCAATGCGTACTGCTGATATAAGTTTGTTGTCAAGTTAAAATATTCTATGGAATTTCAATGATTGAATTCTTTAAAAGTTGAATTTTTAAACTGTAAATTGTAAAGGTCGAATTTAGTTGATTTAATTTTAAAAAAAGATTAGTTCAGTTTGATAGTGATTTCAGTTGAAGTGAAGTGGATAACTAATTGTACTGTTTAGTAATGCTTATTGATGAGTTTACCAGTGATTGAATTAAAAAACACTGGGTTAGGATTCACACAATCCACATTTTTAGCTGCGTTTAATTCTTGAAATGATCTATTGATTAATCATTTATCATTCTTGATACCTAACTAGTTGATGACATAATTGGATTTGATTGATGTTTAGTTCAATGATCTCAAAAGTCGTCTAATTTAATCAAACGCTATTGTTTAATGAATAAAAGGTGAAATGTAATTATAATATTTTAGCATCCTTTTTAAACACAATAACCTCATTATGTATTCATAGTCAGTATAAAGTAATTTTAGAACATTTATGATCAATTTTGTGAATACTGTATGAAAACTTAGTTTCTAGTTACAAACTACTAGCTAACTGTCTATAGTGGGAAGCAGTGACCAGTGGAGTTCAAGCGGGTTTGTTGTGAAATAGTAAATCATTGAAGATAATGGTGGATGCGTTGCTAAATTAGTAGAATTAGTTTAAATTTGATATTAACACTGTTGGATGCCGGCCGGCTCAGTAATCTAGTGACTAAGCGCTCACGCGCTAGAGTGATAGGTCCTGGGTTCGAATCTCGCGAGGCGGGATAGTGGATGTGCACTTCTGAGAAGTCCCGTACTAGGACGAAACGGTCGCCGAGTGCTTCCAGGTTTTCCATGGTTTTCCATGATCTCAACTATTGAAATTAATTGTCTTGTGTTAAAGCGATCACAATTCTACTCTTGTAATTTGTCGTTAGTATGACAAGTGATTCTTAATACTGTAAATAAATGAAAAGACGATATGGGTAATTATTTTGTAGTTAAGTTTAATGAAGCTTGAGAACATCAATGATTGGTTATTTCCAGTTAAGATGACTACTTATATCCCTAGATTTAGTTAAACACACTGAAAACGAATAACATCAAAATATACACCAATTATTCCAAATACAAATACTGAAAGTTTTAATAGCCGAAATGCTTACAACCTAATAACAAGAGGAAGAAAATACGCTCAGGATTCACGTGTTCCAAAATAAGACAGATCAATTTCAGTCATTAACACAAACAATGAAAGAAAGATTCAGACCATTTCATCCAGACTTCATCCAAACCTTGGCATAGGTGGTTCTGAAAGATTTATAGTGGATTCGACAGTAGCCTTGTAGTCATGTGGTTATAATCAAATTAGACATATTTGCTCAACATTTCAATTCATATTTATTACATTCATTTTAATGAATCTTTAAAAAAGATGAAACTGGTGAATTTTATTCAGTGGTTTTTAAATAATGTGAAGGGTTTTTTTCATTTTCGATATAAATCATAAGTCAAAAAAGGGATAAAGTACGGGAAAATTCGAAATCTGTCAGACTATAACATCAGCGATCAGACGAATCCCTTCTTCCTCTTCTTCTTCTTCTTATCATTATTATTATCATTATTCCACTTTTGTGTTTAATCAACTCCTTTTGTAAAAATTGGAACATGTTCACGTTTTGACAGTTAATTAGATTATTTACTAATCTGAAATGTAATGTAACATTTGTAAATAAATGCTACTTATAAATAATGTAAAGAAACAAACAGACTAAATCTTTATAATTCCTGTACAGTTAATGAAGCTGACTAGTCAGTGATTAAATATTGATTTGTAGACCTTTTTTTAAATTTCATCAATTAACTAGAAATACGAAAAACTGTATACAAAGTAGACAGCTGATTGTATTCGATAAGTGTTTTGCGATAAAATTATACATTTAACCTTTTAGTTAACACTAAGTAAAATAACTATGCAAATTATAGAAATTGATCATTAGTTAAAAAATACGATAAGTTGGCACGAAGCCTGCGCATTCTTCTATCGATTGGTTGGTTTTAATTGGCAGATATATAACAACATAAGAATAAATAACAAAAAAAAACAGTTGAATCACTGTTCTGAAACGAAAAATACAAGAAAGGAAAATATACAAATCAATAATTCCATAATTTAAAACATGAACTGATCATCATTGGACCATCAAGAATCAGGAGAGACTAAGTAGTTGTTCTATCCTAGCCTGGAGCTCTTCAGCTGTGAGGACTCACCACAGGGAACCGAGCGCAGGATCTCTGGTCTCGCATGCGAGCACTACCTCCAGACTACTGGTATGGTACATGTATAACTTCAATCATATCACAATACTGAGCGACCACCCAACAAGAAGAGAGGCAGACCAAAGAGCATGTTGAGCAGAGAATAGGACGTAGACATCGAGACCATGAATAGCGCTTCGTAATAACTGGAAATGTGAGCTCAGGATAGCGTTGGTTGGAAATCCCTGGTAAAACGCCTATCCCTTAAGAGAGGTAACGGTCATGAGTAAGTAAAAGTTTTTAGAACAATATCATCCCGCAAAGTTTAACGATGATCAAGATCAAGGCCTAAAATTGCCTTTTTTTCTTTATTTTTATCTGTTTTTTAGCTCCGTTCGTAACAATTGTGGTTTGTTGCTGTATACTGACAACATTTTTTCTACTGGTTCTTTTTCTCCGATGTCGGTAAGTATTTTTCAACATTTATAAATATCAGAAAACGCTATTTTTATTAATCTGTGGTATGTCAGTTTTGTTGATCAGCTTTAATTTTCACCCAACCCTAGCCTCTACTTTGACATGATGGTCAGGTCTTCCTATTCCGATAACTTAATCAGACTATATTAGCTGGAACACTTGTTCCTTTGGGTTTTCCCCAACAGGCAGATCGGTTGGGGGAGACTAAAATCAGCAACTCGAACCGATGTACATCTGTGACAGGTTCTATATTACATTTGACTGACAGTTTTTCTTCTCAACAAATTTTACCTTAAGTGGTTGCTGGTGATTTACAGATGAACAATACACCCAGCTCAGAGATCACCATAACTCCAACATATTTATCTTGAGCTATATGTAATCTCTATTCTCTTGATCCCGATCACAATGACACTTAATTGTTCAAAAATATTTTAAAAAGTCAAAATTTCATAATGAGTAATAATTGGATAAGATGTTTAGTATTAGACTGACTTGATAAGAAAATACTGACAATTAGATTTGAATTCAAAAGTATATTGCTTTGTTGTAAAGTAAAACAGGTTCAGTTATTTATATTTCACAATGGTAACTGTTTATTTTTGGCAATCAAGAATTTAGCGCGAAAGTATACATTATTCTGGTAACTTCGGTCGTTAATATTTAGTTGCGTAACATCTGGTTTTGTGCTATTATTGAATAATAATATGATGTTTCTTCCTTCTTAATTCATTTTTATTTTCCTACTTCCACTTAATTTAGTTTTCTGTAGTCAGTAATATGTAATTTAAAGACCTCCTACCCTATTACAATTCTTGATTTCCAGTACAATGATTAAAAAACTATTTTATAAACTAGTCGAATACTATTAATGATTCACCATTTCTAACCTTACTCAGTACTTCTATAGTACGTGCTACTGACATCGACAGATATAAGTAGTATATATCATGAATCGGAAATGAAACGCCTACCAGCACAAGTTTAAAAACATTGGAGTAAAGAGAACGAGAACAGTGAATGATTGCTATGGAAGAAAAGAACCAATGAAGTCTGAGACGATTGATTGACATTTTGCAAATAAAGTATTTACTATATGGTTCTCAGATTTTATTAAGATGATCTGTAATTATTTATTCACACACATTCGATTCACTCCACTTGTGTTCCCATTCACTACACTTCTCTTTAAATGTAGTGAAAAAGTAGGAAAACCGTTCTCTTTCTATATTTAATAATAATACTGATAATAATATTATGGTTTTTAGGTGTAGGCGGGTGAATAACAAATCCATGAAATAAATTAATTTCTATCATTTTGTTTTGAGCATAAAAATATGTTCATTAGATAATTGATTTTCTTTGGTATCATTATTTTGTCAGTCTTACGATATATTCATAAGTATGTAATAGAAGAGTACTGGAACGAAAGAAAAGAAAAGCTCGGATCTGATACAGTAGGATTTGAAATGATTTCTCTCATAAGCATATTGGTTAAGTAATAGTTATAACTCTGAGGTTTCATCATCACTTCATTTAACTTTTCTTTGATTGTGATCTACTAATGAAATGATTCTACAGTACTATACAACATTTAAACATTCATAGTCATTTCCTAGACTATTATTGAATCAATTTTTAATATAAGATGATCATACGAATGTCAGCCGTATATGCATACAGATAAACAGAGTTCTAATATTATTAGCATCAATAATCATTGCTTGATACTCTCAAGGAAGCTTAACTCTTGTGCATACACTGATTAGTTTCTGAATAAAATATTTTCAAACACATTTGAATATAATAGATGAAACGGAGCTAGAAATATAATACAGAATTTGGTTTCATTTGATTTGCTACTCGTCGGCTGCATCCAGAACTTGAAATTCATGTCTCGATCGATACCCAGTACCCTCCACTTCAGTTGTCTAACTCCCTACCTATTTCATTACTGATTCCAAATAACCACTTTCTTGTTCAATAGGTATATATTTTTATAAATTTGTAATGTATCAGACCTTCTGGCTGATGCTTTAACTAAATATCGACCAGCCTTAGTTGGCAAATATTCATTTTGTGTGTATTGCCTCAATATTGTAACCAGTCACAAATATTTCTAAGTACAGTTAGATAGTGATCGGAAGTGAAATCCAAGACACCGGGTGAACATCAGTACTGAGATACAAGCTTATTCAACTAACGAGTACCATTCTAAGCCATATTAAATCTATTCTATAAAAAACTTATATTATAATGGGTAAATCAAGTCAGTTCCCACAACATGCAAAACATCATCAGCAGGATAATTCAAATTAACTATACATTGACATTCTTTTTGGTGAACTCTATGTGATGTGTGTTGGTTATATAGACATAAGTAGTATATGATGTTAGTCGTGAACAGAATATCCGGCAACAGAGAGACAAGAAGATCTAACAGTAAAGAATTAAGACAGAATGCAATTAGTATGGAAATGCAAGAACGACGAAGTCTGAGTCATTTTTAGACAATTGATGGACGTTTTGCAAATTGAGCATTCGCTATATGGTCGTTAGGTTTTATTAACAAGTTCTGTAATTTGTTGTCAAATACATTCGATTGTACCTCATTAGTGTTCGTGTTCACTACACTCTATACTATTATTATACAAGTAACAAACCAAAACTTGTTTAAAACTATTTTCGTTTCTATATTTATCGTAAATGTCTCCACAATCTTCTTTATTTTTTATGGCTCGCACTACCTCATAGATATGTTAGCAGATGTTCATATGTATTAGACTGTAGAGTATTTATACACTGCTTAGCGATTTAAAAAAGGAGTTTTTTCTTATCAAGGTGGGGTTACTAATACCATACTCAACTCGCACCCTTTACCATGGCATAAGACTGACAGTAATCGTAAAAGGCTCCATGAGAAGTTAAAAAATTTAGTGGGCACAAGTTCTTCTTTTAAAAAAATTAAAGCGCAATCCACTAACAAAGTGATATTTTTTAATAAAGCTCCTTAAAAATTTATTACTATTGTTAAGTAGTTCAGTATAGACTAAAAAAATCTTGTGTAGAGACTAAAAGATTGGACGAAGATTTACAGCAGATCGGGATTCTTTCAAAACTCTTTCTTAGAAACCATTGACAAAATATTAAATATTAAGATTACAATCCCAATCCCTACTTGTTTCTTCGAAATCTCTAGGATACTGTATTTTTTTCGACAATATTTTCTAACATTCAATTGATTTGTAGACAAACAACTCATTAGTAATAAAGATTGTTTAAATATATATATTGAGTATATTTGGATTCTCTAGGGAAATTGAAAAGGAATATTCGTAGCTTTAAAGCTATATTTCACTAATGATTCACTTGTTAGTTACTATTTATTATGAAAAATAAAGAGAATATGTTTTCCACTTTTTTACGATTTGTATCTAATCAAGTATAGAACGAATAGATTTGACTATATACTCAGAAAGTGATACATAGAATTATCAAATATTTTGTTTTAAAAATATATAGTTTGGTAAAATTTGAGCAAGATAGTGGTGGAAGATAGTCAACAAGAAACCCTGGACCCGGGTTTCGTGCTATTCGGCACTCGTTAGCAAGATGTACCTGTAATCTTGAGGGAACTGATGCTCCCTGATAAACTCAACCACGTGTCACCTAGCTTCACAGTCAGAAATGTTACCACTGAGCTATCTGGGCCGTGATTGACCTCCTGTAGGACTGAGATGTATTCACAATTGATTAATCATTGTATGATGATCAATGTCATGTGTGTCAGGTCCTTGTTAGTGTAGCGTCGAGTCACCTTGAATAGTGGCCACATTGCAACTTGTTCGATAGCATTCGATCTGCACTAAGAAGGATCTGACACACATGACATTGATCACCACCCAGTGATTAATCAATTGTGAAAGTTTGAATAAGTTCATGTTTGAGAATGTTTAACATTGACAGTGGATCAGATCACAAACAGGTTAATCGATATCAGTTAATCTTAATTTGAATGTAAAGTAATGTGATTATTGAAACATAATTCATAAAAATATTCAGAGATATTCTTAGTATCTATTCAGAACGAACTATGACAAATCAAAAAAGTTACATTTCAAATACATAGAAGATAAAGATACGGTCAGTATTCTCTTAAAACTATTGTTATATGCATACTTTTAGGTTCATGATCTCAATCAAAAACTTGACAATCTCCATAATACCTAAATTGATACTTTTAGGTACTTAAAGTTAGGGAATATAAATAAAAACTTAAGGACTAGTTTTAAGTTTATTTTAGTAAGGACAGAAGGCTTCTAAGCAAGTAGGTCGATGATTTCATTGTAAACACGAACCGATTTACGTAAGATAACTACTGGAAATCTGGAAGTACTAGATAGCTGTGTCGTCTTAATATAGTAGTCCTTAGCAGTGCGAATACACGATCCCCGCCAGCAGGAGTAAAGCCCACAACTGATTTTTCTTTATTTACACTTTTATCGTTTAAAGCAGACACCATCTATATATTCGCGTCAAATAAATGTATATCATCAGTTTCTTTTTATTTACCTTTGGACAATGACCTTAATCGACATATCATTCATGGTATTGTTGATTCTAATATATCCCACTACTCATACTTATAACTCATTATACTAAATTACCTTTTTCTCTTGGATAACAACCAATTTAATAATATCATTAAGCTTTTTGTGTATTTCAGTCATAGACTAAAGATAAATTGTAAAGCTTTTATCGATTCATTATAGAGTTTAACGTATAATTGAACCTTGAATGATAAGTACATTGCAAATGTTTCTATATCCTGAAATAGAAAGAAAAACATTTTCTACTTTCCAATTTGTGTTTTCACGTAAGTTCACATTTTTCAAATTTCTTTATCTAGGTAAGTTTTAAAAGTTCATTAAGGCTGAATTTTTAATTATGACCATGAGGAACGTGCTAAACGTAAGAAATTCAATTTT